ATATATATATATATATAATATGTATACATATACATATATATACATATATATATATAGTACCCCCCCATGTACCCACGCCTTTTTCCAGAATCTCAATTTCTGCAGAAAGGCGTGGGTTATTGGGATCGGGTGAGTGCCTGAAACTCTGTAAAACGTATATAAGCAGACGAGGCCGAAATGTACCATATTTAGTATACATAAGCACGTAAGTTTCGCTCCGGAACAAGATGAAACAAGATGAAACGCATTCAAAATGCATTCACAACGCATTCAACTTGAATACGCTTTTTGATTCAAGATTCAAGATTCAAGATGCCCGGGCAAGTTCGGGCACCTTGAATCTTGAATCTTGCGTCCGCAGGCGTATTCAAGCTGAATACGTTTTGAATGCGTTTGAATACGTTTCGATTCGATTTGAATCGGTTTCATCTTGCTTCCACCCGTGCTTGTTCAACCTTCCTTACGCGACCTGCATCTTTAGGATTTGGGGCTCGCCTAGGGGCTCTCCTCTTTAAGGTTTACGGACCCCTCTTTTGGGCTTAGGGCATAGGACTTAGGGAGCCATAAAGAATTCGGGATCCCAGCCTTTAGGGCTTAGCGAAAAGGATTTCGGGAATAGGACGCCTCTTTCGGGTTAGGGAATCTCATTGGAGAGTAAATGTAAGGGAATAAGATTAAGGGATCCCGCTCTTTAAGATTTAGAGAAAAGACTGAGGCAATAAAAGTCATTTTTGCTTTCGGATTTAGGCTTAAGTTTAGGGTTTAGGTTTAGATGGTTTAGGGAAAAAACTTTACGGACCTCTCTTGGGGCTTAGGGAATAGGACTTGGGGAAAACTATTCGCGGAATAAGATGGGGAAGAAGATTTCCCTAAACCCTGTAGGGCTTACCGAAGAGGCTTTAGGGAATAGGACCTGTTTTTCGGATGTAACGGCCCCCTCTTTAGGGTTCGGGAATAGGATCTGAGAGTAACTATAAGGGAATAAGATTCAGGGATCCCGTTAGGATTTAGAGAGAAGAATTCGGCAATAAATTTCATTTTCGCTTTCGGATTTGGGGCTGGCTCTGCTAGGGGCTCTCCTCTTTGACGATTTGGGATAGGTTTTTTGAAAAGGCTCCTCTTTAAGATTTAAGGACCCCCCTCTGTAGGGAATCGGACGCAAGCCTTGCTACCTTCTATGCGCGCTTCTATTCAACACCTCAGTAGCTTTTTCATGAAGCCATTTAGTTAGGATTTGTAATGAGAATTCAAACGAGTGGTTGAGACGTTAATGAGATTCTTAGTAGGGTCTACTATAATCATCACAGGTGGGTAACACAATGTCATATGCTTTAACGATCAGAAAACTGCAACGACAGGTAAGGGTGTTCATGGAGTATGCCCTTTCTTAAACGGCAGTTCTTTTTTCAACAAATGATGATTCAGCTTGTCTCTAAATCTGCGCAAATTAGGCGATGACAGCTAAACAAGTTTGTTCTGTTAAAGCCTCCTCAGCAAAGACTCGTGCAAAACACATGTACATGCTTCAGAAAGCATATATCAAAGATAGTATTGAATATGCTATTGAGTATCCTGTTAATGCAGTGTTCATGTTTCGAGTAGTTAGGGCGTTCTTGAGTTCTGATAGGGGTACATGTGAAAGGTCGCCCTCATGCAAGCACTTGGACTCACCTCGACTGTGAAGCATCACAAGAAAAACCAAAAGCCAGAAAGCCCGCGATCCGAAGATCCAAAAGGCCCAAAAATCCGAACCTTCCCGGAGCTTCTATCAGGAAAGGTTGGATTCTTGGACTTTTGGATCTTTGGGTTTATGCTTTTCTGTGGCAGGTATAAGCGTAGAAGCACACACAGTGGGCCAAACAAGTGCAAGGAAAAACAAATAAGCGCAAGACTATCCTACAAGCACAAGCAAGTGCAAAACAGCAAAGAACAACACAACAAAGTTCAAAAAGGCAATAAAAAACCAGAAAGAAATGTAACACATGCAAAACAAAGCACAAGTAAATGCAAACAAATTCTAAAACACAAATAAGTGCAACAAGAGCAAACAAGGCACAAATACGTGCAAGCAGTCAAAAATGCGTGCAAACAATCCAAAACAGTACAAAGAAGTTCAAAAAACTCACACAGCACAAATCAGTGCAGAAAAGGCCAAAAAGCACGACTGCGTGCAAGAAGGAGAACAACACAAATTTAGACACGATGGAAATTTGGGCTTTTGTCGTTTCGTGAATTTTCTATTTCGCGGTTAGTCCATTGCGGGGACGGGTGGAGTATATCTACACATATCGATATGTATATGTCATGTATATATATATATATAATGTGGTATATGTTGCGATTGTGCCATTTTCTTAGCACATGGTTATTTCTATTTATTATTCTTGTTATTGTCAAGTATTATACTGTGGTTCTTATGTATACATAGACACATATGTTGTATCACAGCTGACGTTTACAGTTATATGAGCTTATGTTTTAGAACAGGATACGCTCTCTGTGTGCTATGTTTTGCGGCACATGAAAATATGATATTATGTTATGGTAGTGATCTGGATCTTGATATTGATACTAGCCGATCCCAGACCAGCAAGGATACCTCGCGGCGGGGCACAGAGGTCGAATTCTCACTGGCCAGTGGCAGCCTGGCATATTTTCGTGAAGCCCCCCCCAATCGATGGCCCCTTTTTCGACATATTTTCTTGAAGCTCCGATTTATGGGTTGTTTTTTTTTTTTTTGGCTAGGTCTGGCTCAGTCTTTTCTCCTTTTTCTTGAATCTGGCGGGTTCTCCGGTCCCGTGGTCCACCGGTGCGCCGGTCCTACGGTCCTCTGGTCCTGCGGTTCCTTGGTCCCTTGGTCCCCTGGTCAACCCCTCCCTAAACCCTAAACCCTAAACCCTAAACCCTAAACCCTAAACCCTTAACCCTTAACCCTTAACCCTAAACCCTAAACCCTAAACCCTAAACCCTAAACCCCCGTGCAAGCTTGCCCTTCCAAGCCCATCATGCGAGCATTGTGTCTGCAAATGGGGGCGCTGCGCCTCCCCCAGCCCCCCCGGCTGTTTTTGTTAGCTTCTCAGTGGATCTACAAATTACAGTTCTTAACAGCACGTGAATACTAATTGCTAAGAAAGCAAATACTTGCTAGGGGTTGGAGCACTGTCAAACAGGCGAACACGGTGTTTGTAGTTTTCGAGGAGATCCAAGCGTAGAAAGCGCTTCAAAATACAGTAGTTCAAGCCTATGAACTGCCCAGGTCTCGAGCCAGACCTAGGAAAAAGTAAAAAAGGAGAGCCGGACCTGAGAAAACACAACACCTCCCCCCCAATTTAGGGTTCGGGGTTTGGGTCCAAGGTTGCTACCAAGAATACTTCTTTCCTTTCAGCGCCTGGCGAGGACCAACTTCCTCCATGGGCACTGGGCCGGCTATGTAGGCAATCGTGGGCTTGCTTTCAGGGTCACGGGGCTAGTTGAACATTTTTGTTCAGAACTAGACAAAGGAGGAGTAAACGCGCAACGGCGGCCATACCGGTCATGCCCAGCGGGCTGCAGGCCCTGTTAAGTCGATTTCGGAGGGAGGGGAGAGGATCGAACGCTGGCAAACAGACTGCCTGCGAGCAATGCACAAACAACACGTTTGGTTTGTGCGGCTTCAAGATGGTTGCAATCCCTATGCTCCATAGCATCCGTCAGATCGTTTGCTGGTTAAGTGCATTGTAGTCAGCCACACTGTGGTGGTTTGGATCTTGTCCTTTTCCTCCGAAGTTCCTTCTGCAACTTCTTAGCGTTGTCCAGTCTCAGCTTCAATGACATCGCGATGTTGACAGTTTTGTTTCGGGAGTTCCGTTTTTGACAGAAGCTACTTGGTGCACGAGTTTCTCGCAGATTAATTCTTGCAACAGATGGACATACTACTATAAAACCTAAAGCCACAAATCCCCAAACCTCTAACCTAAACCCTGAACCCAATATCCCTGGACTTAAACCCTGAAACGCTCGGGCAAGTAGTTTACATCTTCAAGCCATCCATACATTCATGGAGTAGGAGCGGACTGCCACGCAGAAGGCAACTTAGGATTGCCACTGTTAGCATGAGTTGAAGCTCCCTGGTTAATACTTGGAACTGCGAATGATTTGCCGGCAAGCGGTGGCCCATGTACCACCGCGCGGGGTTGAAAGAGCGATCCAGGCTTTCGTTTTTACGCACGTGTGATGTGAGCGTAGCACGACAGATGCTGCCACCAAGCAGCATCCAGCAAGAACAGCACGCCAACATCCAATAGGAACACGTGGGAGGTTCTCGATATCTTTTTGCTGGTGCTGCAAACACAGATCAGTTGAGAGCACCACCAGCTTTGCTCTACTCTACTCTACTCTACTCTACTCTACTCTACTCTGCCATATTCCACTATACTCTCTATTCTACTCTACGAATAATCTACTATACTCTACGATGCCAGCCCACCCACCTGTCAGGTGTGGTGCACTCCTGGGACGCCTGGCAGACCGACCACAACCGAAATGAGCAATCCACGAATTGGGTGGTCGTCTGTTCGTCGAATGTGCAGAGGCCAGTGTGGCTAGACTGAAGCTGGAAACCTTCCTAACCCTAAATCCTAAACCCTCAAGCTCAAGCCCTGTGCACGTAACTTCAAGCCGTAAACAGCTGAGTAGAGTTGATGGCTTTTCCAGGTTCCTGAGGAAGGCAATCAAAATCAAGGCTTTTTGCGTCTCCAGAGTCAGTCATGAGGAAGTGGTTCCCCACCACCCCTTCCCAAATCCTCATTCAGTCCCAGAAGAGCACGCTACACGACATTTTTGAGGCTCCTTGAACGGAACCGGCCCACTACGTAGTTGTTGGGATGTCGCTGGAAGATGTAACTGAACTCAGAGGTATAGTGCACAGTCCAGTCTTAGCATTTGGCAGTTGTTCTGGACCATGGGGCTTGCAAAGGGGATTCCAATTGTCCCTCGCTCGCATGTCCACGGCTTTGCCTGAGGCTGGTCGACGGCTTCTCGGCTCAGATTGTTGCTTCCATGACGCTGTGGTTTCCACTCCCGGATATTCTGGCAGCTAACCTTAGCTCCCTCTCAGGTGCTGATATCTCCATTGCCGACCCCAAGCACGCAGGAGACGAGTCCTAGGGGGGCCAGAGGTCGTTTCCAGTGACTATTTCCGAAAAAGTTGGGGGGGCTTCCTACAATTACCAGTACATGGCATTTCGGGTTGCAAGGGTACCCCTTATGAACCCCAAACCTAAACCCCAAACCCTAAACCCTAAACCCGAAACCCTAAACCCTAAACCCGAAACCCTAAACCCTAGACCCTTCCGCTCAAAGTGCAGCAGGAGGGGATCAACGCCTGGTCATCAACACCGGCTCCTTGCCATGTTCGAGTGAGCTCAGGGTCGTGCAAGCCGCCACCAGGGGCAGGTTTGAACGGATTTTTTAGGGTTTAGGGGTTAATTAGGGTTTAGGGGGTTTAGGGTTTAGGGTTTAGGCTTTCGGGTCTAGGGTTTAGGGTTGTTTTACCCTTAATTCCCATATCTAATCCTTGTAGAGCCATAAGATTTCAAGTTTATGGGGCCCCCAACGCGAGCTGCGGGGAAAGGTGGTCTTGAAGTGCATCGCAGACTTCGCAAACAAAGGGCCCCAACAGACGAACGAATTTCAGCCAGGTAAGCTGATGTCAAAACCCTAGCCAGCAAACCCTAAACCCTAAACCCGAAACCCGAAACCCTAAACCCTAAACCCTAAACCCTAAACCCTAAAACCCTAAAACCCTAAAACCCTAAAACCCTAAAACCCTAAAACCCTAAAACCCTAAAACCCTAAAACCCTAAACCCTAAACCGCTCCCAGGGCAGCACCATGAGTATTCCGATTGGGCGGTCATGGAACTCATGACGTGGAACTACGGCCTCTCGCTCGAGGTTGCCCGTCTGGCCTTTGAAGTTGAGGTTTCGGGTTTAGGATTTAGGGTTTGGGGTTTAGGGTTTAGGGTTTCGGGTTTAGGGTAGAACCAGCAGGGTTTCAGTTGGAGGTTCTAAGGGTTCGTCTTCGTGCTGACCAGGGGTTTCATGTTCATCCATTCCTAACTTCTTCTTCTTTTCGTTGCGTACAACATGTCATGCTCAACATGTTGCGATGTGCTTTTTGTGTGATAATCTCACTTCATGCAGTACACAGCGCATGTGTCTATTGAGAGTAAACGTACAAGCACTAATTATCTCAGTATGTATGTTTCTGTAACAGTGTCGCGTTACATGCGTGTATACATGTATGTTTACGGTTCATGCACTCGCTGAAAATCGACAAGACTATAAGACCAGCTACCAGCTACTCTGCTCTGCTCTGCTTATATTCTACTCTACTCCGTTGTGCTGCACTTACTGTGAGCGAGTGTGTGATGATGTAGCCACCCACAGCAGTCATGAACAACTTCGACCGGCTTCTACACTGAGGAGATGAAAGAAGCTGCGGAGTACTTGTCCAAGAAGGCTGTGCGTCGGGGGCACATGCTGCTGTCCCATCTTCTCTTTTCTGTTGCCTTGAGGGCATGAGAATGAGGGATACATGAGCAGGGCCCCCACCCTGTGTTGTGGTGTGGTCCCCCTATGCTTGGGGTTTTGGGGGCAGGGTTTAGGGTTTAAGGTTTAGGGTTTAGGGTTTCTAAGCGGTCACAGAGTTCGTAGGTTTAGGATTAAGGGTTTGCGGTCCCCCCCCCCCCCCCAGCATCCTTTTTGTGGTGTGGTTTGTGGGTTTTGGGTTCAAGGTTTAGGGTTTAGGGTAAGGTCTAGAGTTTAGGGTTTAGGGGAGGGTGGTGTAGGGTGAGGGGGGGGGGGCATAGCATGGGTGGGGGGAGATACAATGGTGGGGGTCCAACCCCCTCTCTCTTCCGCGTTGTGGTTTGTGGGTTGGTTCGAGGGCTTAGGGTTTGGGGTTTAGGGGGTTTTGGTGCGTAGGGCTTGCCTGTGGGTTTTCGGGTCATACTTTAGGTGCTCCCCCCTCCTCGTGGTGTGGCTGTGGGGTGGTTCGAAGGGTTCGGGTTGGGGCTTCTGGTTTAGGGCTCCAGCATTTTAGGGATTTGGGCTCCGGCTCCCCACCCCTGCCGCACCATACCACCGGGGGGGGGGGGGGGGGGGGGGGGAGGGGGGGGGGTAGGGGGCCGGACATGCCAGACGCCTGACCAGATCTTCCGACTCGTGTCCTATGTGACAGGGACCGACAGTTAGGGAAGGATAATTGAATTGTGAGTTGTTCCTGCATGCACGCAGCGCAAGGGGGGTACGCCACCATGCGTGCGCCTGGCCATGCTGGATCCGCACGTAGTCACCCTGTGCCACCCTCCCCAGCCGAAACATCCTAATCCCAAACCCTAGACCCAAGAAATGCGGAGCTCTGAAATCTGAAACCTCGCGTATGTACGTGCCAGACAGGTTGGCGCCGGGCAACCCGACGGCTGCATCTACGAAGTCGTCAACGTTGAAGAAGTGGATAGGACTTCCTAAACCCTGAGCCCTAAGCCCTAAACCCTAAACCCTAAACCGCAGGTTAAGGGTTTTCGGGTGACGGCCTCACGGCCACCAGGAGTTGTTCTCGTAGTCGTGCTGCCTTTAGGATTTCTCTGGCGTTGTGGGGGTTAGGGCGTCTATCCATTAGAAGAATTTAGTGTTGGAGGGCTACTCGGGTTCACGTAACGACCTGGAGTCGCCTAAGCCACGAACGGGCAACTTGGGCACCACCTGGGCCGGTTCCCTAAGGCTGGGATCGTGTTGTGGTAAGCAGCCTCATGCTTCAGCGTACAGGAGAAGGGGACATGCCCTGAAACATGGCTAGGACCGAGAACAAGATGACCTCAAACCCCAAAGGGTTGGGCCGCCGGCCAGACACCACCCCCTGACCAATGCTACACCCTGAACCCTAAACCCTAAACCCTAAACCCTAAACCCAAAACCCTAAACCTTAAACCCTAAACCCTAAACCCCAAACCCTAAACCCTAAACCCCAAACCCTAAATCCACCCCCCCCCCCCCCCCCTTTTTGTCTTGGGAGGATGTACAGCGGTACAGGCGAGTGGAATGCGGACAAGTCAATGCTGGACAACGAAGTGGGGGGCTTCTGCACTCCTCAACGGCCCGGAGCCCGGCGTTGAGGGTTTGAGGGTTTGCGCGCTTTAGGGTTTTGGGGGCTTGAGGGTTTAAGGTTGTAGGGTTCCTGGGGTGTTTGGGGTTACTGTTTCTGCGACTGCTATTGCTACTTCTCCAGCTACTGCTACTGACCAGAATTCTCATTGTCATTATTGTCATTAATGCGCTACTTTCGCTGATGCTGTTGCTGCCTCTGCTCTGCTACTGTTACTGTTAGTGTTCCTACTCTTGCCATTCGAACTGCTACCCCACGTGCTAGTTTATTGCAGTCATGTCTGGTACACTCTTCTTCTTGCCCTAGGAGGACTCCTAGGACCTAGAACTCTCTTGTCCAGTTTGGGGTTGAGGGGTTCCATCATCGTAGACACGGTGGGATTCACAAGGGGCTAAGCCCTGAATCGGGCTTCAGGGGTTGGTTCAGGGGTCTTAGGGCTCTAGGGTTTCGGGTTTCAGGGGTTTAGGATTGCGGGTTTCGGGTTTAGGGTTTAGGGGTTCAAGGGTTCAGGGGTTCAAGGGTTGAGGGAGCCAGCTACGCGATTCGAGGCATTGCTGCGAGGCCCTGGATGACTGGATGCAGATGGACCTGAAGGTGGAAGTCGGTGGGTTTAGGGCTTAGGGTTAGGGTTTAGGGTTTAGGGTTTAGGGTTTAGGGTCTAGGGTTCAGGGTCAGGGTTCAGGGTTGAGGGTTCAGGGTTGAGGGTTCAGGGTTCAGGGTTGAGGACTCAGGGTTCAGGGTTCAGGAATGAGGGTTGAGGAATGCGGGGATGAGGGTTTTTAAGTTTGGGGCTTCGGGTTTGGCAACTTTGACTTTGGAGGTTTTGGGCATTCGGGTGCAGCCGAGGCAGAGGTCAGCTTCGTAAACTTAGTGTCTTACGAAATCTCTTTAAGGGTAGTCTGAGCCCTAAACCGACATTCCAGATGTCAGCCATAATACCCTTTAGTTGTGGACAATCATACTACAACACAAGAATATAAGGGCACCATAGTATGCGAATAAAACAATATACGCTCATATACTCTTTGAGTACCATGATGTAGGAGCGTATTGTCAGAATCATACCAAAGTAGAGTGTTTTGGTCCATGGCCGGCAGGTGTCGAGGCCCGTCGCTGGCGTTGTCATTCAGGGCAAGTACCCCCACAACGGCGTACAGGACCCAGGGCGGCTTAGGGTCAAGGGTCTCGGGGCCGTTCTTGGGGGGATCTGACAGCCCCTTGAACCTACAAATGCCCCCCAAGCCCTAACCCCCAAACCTAGCGAGGGCTCGTTGGAGCGTGTTGCTGCCGAGCTAGGCAAAGCCCGAGCAGCTATGCTGCGAGAGCAACCCTCAACCCTCAACCCTCAACCCTCAACCCTCAACCCTCAACCCTCAACCCTCAACCCTCAACCCTCAACCCTCAACCCTCAACCCTCAACCCTCAACCCTCAACCCTCAACCCTCAACCCTCCACCCTCCACCCTCAACCCTCAACCCTCAACCCTCAACCCTCAACCCTCAACCCTCAACCCTCAACCCTCAACCCTCAACCCTCAACCCTCAACCCTCAACCCTCAACCCTCAACCCTCAACCCTCAACCCTCAACCCTCAACCCGCAACCCTCAACCCTCAACCCTCAACCCTCAACCCTCAACCCTCAACCCTCAACCCTCAACCCTCAACCCTCAACCCTCAACCCTCAACCCTCAACCCTCAACCCTCAAACCTCAACCCTCAACCCTCAACCCTCAACCCTCAACCCTCAACCCTCAACCCTCAACCCTCAACCCTCAACCCTCAACCAAACTGCAAGGACTGGGTCTGGAGCTTCAAAGTTCAGTACAAGGAGGACGTGGCCAGCGCATGGCCACTTTGCCCAAGGGGGTTTAGGGCTTAGGGTTTAGGGGGCTCTACCCTTGGGTTTTGGGATTTGGGTTAGGATTTCAGGGTTTGGGGTTTAGGGGCTTTGGAGGGTTGGAGTTTCGGGGTTTGGAGTTTGGGGCTTAAGGCTTAAGGCTTTTAGGGCTTCAGGAGTTTAGGGCTCCTTGGCTTGATCTGAGGAACACGATCGACGCCCTGTTCACGGGCATCGCCTCGCCGGACGAGAAGAACAGGGTCTTCTTCACCTCCCCCGTGAAGGCGCGAGGGCGTGTAAGGGGCTTGCGGTTCTAGCAAGGCCTAAACCCACCCCTCACGTTCTTAGAGAGCCCGGAGCCCGAAGCCCTAAACCCTAAAACCTAAATCCTAAACCCTAAAGCGCCGGAGCTCGTGGGAATTCGGGTCTCCCACCAGAACCACAAGCCGCAACACAAACCGAGTTCACAAACTCAACCCTGAACCCCAAACAAGCCTTGATAGCCTACTAGTTCTAAGAATTAGGCACCCCTGCCTTAAAGGATTTTATGTATACATATACAAATACACTTATATTTCTATCGAGCACATATATATATATATGTATGTATATGTAAGATAAGATAAGATGAGATAATATACCATAATAAGATATAATATAATATAACTTGATATAACAAAATATAGTATACTAGAATATAACATAGTATAAAGAATAGGATAGAGTATAATATAACATAGTATAATATATCATAATGTAATGTAATGTAACATAAAATAAAACCAAATAATACAATGTATAATATATATACAGTATAATATATAATATATATATATATATAATATATATATAATAATATATATATATTATATTTATATAATATTATATATATATTATATATAATATACATATATATATATAATATAATATATAATATATATATATAATATATAATATATAATATGTAATATATAATATGCAATATGCAATATGCAATATGTAATATGTAATATGTAATATGTAATATGTAATATGTAATATGTAATATGTAATACGTAATATGTAATATGTAATATGTAATATATCGTATATAATATAATATAAGATAAGATAAGATAATGTAATATAATATAATATAATATAATATAATATAGTATACATATACATACATCAATAGTATATCTACAGGGGGATATAGGGTACCTAATTTCCAAACCCAAGAAGCCTCGAGGCTTTGTTGTTAAAGTCTGAATTCGGCCAGGCGAGGTTCATCCGGCTGACCCACTTCTTCTTCAAGCAATGGGCGCCTGGCCAGTGCTTGGGGGGATTCTAGGGTTTAGGGCATTTTAGGGTTTAGGATGTAAGGTTTGGGGTTCAGGATTCAGGAGTGTTTAGAGATTCTGGGGATTAGGGCACCAAAGTCCTTTGAAAAACCCAGGGTTGCATGGTTTTCCCCCGTAGCGAGAGCTTAGAGGTCCTTTGTCCACCTCACCAGGTTCCGGGGCGGGATTCAGGGCGACCTACCACTGATCCGCCGATCTGTCAACCGCAAGCTGGTTAGCAGTGTTTTTTTCTCCAGGATTTGCTTTGACAAGGCCTTTGTGTCGCATCCATCTTCCGGTGCTCGCCACAACGCGCTTGTATCTGTGCGGCTAGCAAAGTCATTACCTACCTGGACGTGCAAATATGTGGTCGTTCAGGACTTCATGAACACACTTTGCTGTTGGGGACGTCACACGGGTTTATTGCTTGGCTTAGGTTCCCTTAGGTTCCCTAAGGTTCCCTAAGGTTCCCTAAGGTTCCCTAAGGTTCCTCTAAGGTTCGTTAAGGTTCCCTCAGGTTCCCCTTTGACACAGCCGTGAGCCCCACATCGTGAACCCTAAACTAAGCCCCGTAACATCCTAACATGCTAGCCCCCTCGAACACCCTAAACCTTGAAACCCTGCGACCCTGCCAAAACCTGAAACCCTAATTCCCAAACCTGAAAATCCGAAACCACCACCCCCCCCCCCCCCCCCCCAACCAAAAAAATGCTGACCATGCCATTCGTGGTGGGGCGATGCAAGCTGCAGCGCACTCCCGACAAGCGAGCGAGGGCCCGAAGGGAGCTGGGAGCGAAAGCCACCCGGGAGCACCTGGCATCCTGCCCAGCACTAAGTCGGTCGTGCCGCACCGCAAGACAGCGGATGCGGTTGAGCGCAGCTGTCCCTTCAGCAAGCGGAGCACCATGCGCGAATGGAAGTTGCCCGGGAGGCCGAACTCTAGGAATCTGCAGCGCAGGGAGGCGTTTCCCACAGCTCCTACAGGAAGTCCTCAAGGCCCATGCCTACAGAAACACCTCAGGCGGCCTCAGGTTTTGGGTTGCTTAGGGTTGCTTGGGGTGCTTGGGAGGGTTCTGGGCACCACCCAGCCCGAAAAACCCCCCTGAACCACCGGGATCGCCCGCGCCGACATGACAAAAACGCGCCCCGAGATGGAAAAAGCCATCCCGAGATATTATCTCCGCGGGTCGGTTTTGACATGTCGGCGCGTGCTTTTGATATGTCGGCGCGTGCTTTTGACATGTCGGCGCAACATGCGGATTTTTAGCATGTCGGCGCGTGTTTTTGGCATGTCGGCGCGTGTTTTTGGCGTGTCGGCGCGTGTTTTTGGCATGTCGGCACGTGTTTTTTCGTACGTCGGTGGCAATCAGGTTTTGCCACGTCGGCGCGTATTTCTTTGCACGTCGGTGCGTACTTTTGGCATGTCGGCGCGTGCTTTTGGCATGTCGGCGGGTCCTGTTTCAAATTAGTCACTTTCAAATCTCCCCGACTGCCTCTGGGTTATTCCCCCTGAATTCCTTGAGTTCCTCGTAGTAACCTCTTTATTCTATTTAACTCTGTCTCCGCGTGTCTTTTTTTCCATCTCGGCACGCACTTTTGGCACGTCGGCGCGTCTTTCTTTGCACGTCGGCGCATACTTTTGGCATGTCGGCGCGTACTTTTGGCACGTCGGCGGGTCCTTTTTCAAATTAGTCACTTTCGAATCTCCCCGACTGCCTCTGGGTTATTACCCCTGAATTCCTTGAGTTCCTCGTAGTAACCTCTTTATTCTATTTGCTGGGTCGACGTGGTTGATTTGCCCGCAAGGCCAGAAGATAGCCCAATCTCTGTGTGCCCTGCGGAATCAGCAAAATTCACATAGTTGGTGCTTGCCAGGCTATAGTTCTGTAAGCTTCGTTTGGAACACGAAACGCGAGGGCACGCTAGCAATGAGCATGTGAATCAGTGACCGTTTTATATGCTGTATTGGATGCACGAAACGCATCGACTCATCGCACTCATAGGTTCGAATACATGTTGGCCTTGACCTTGCCAAGACAGGTCCGAGGTATCGTTCGCGGTATCTTTCCGGTATCGTTCCGACAGCGAGACAGACCCCGCATCCAAAGCCCATTTGTTGAGGTGACTTTTCAAATGGCAGTTCAGTTTTATCGCTGTGCCCTGCGGGAAGGCTCCGCGAAACAGGCATTTTGTCAGCGTCTCAAGCTAGCCTCACGTGGCTATCACCGAGAGGTAGCTTCAAAAAGAAGTTCACGGGTGGATTCATGGCAGCGGTACTGTTTTATCGCTGTGCCCTGCGGCAAGACTCCGCAAAACATGCGTTTTTTCACAGTTACATCCTAGTTTCAAGATGCTATCCCCAAGAGGTAGAGAGTTTTTCCTATCATTATCGCATGTTTTGGGCCTTGTGTGCCCTCGGGATTTCAGTTCTGGGCTATTTTCTTGACATGTTGGGCTACCTTCTGTGCCCAGGGGTTGGGCTATCTACAAGTGATTGGGCCAAGAAACCACGCGCGCTCGTAACTCTGTCTCCGCGTGTCTTATTTTCCATTTCGGCACGCACTTTTGGCACGTCGGCGCGTTTTTTTTGCACGTCGGCGCGTGCTTTTGGCATGTCGGCGCGTACTTTTGGCACGTCGGCGGGTCCTGTTTCAAATTAGTCACTTTCAAGTCTCCCCTCTGTATTCTGTTTAACTCTGTCTGCACGTGTCTTTTTTCCATCTCGGCACGCACTTTTGGCACGTCGGCGCGTTTTTTTTGCACGTCGGCGCGTGCTTTTGGCATGTCGGCGCGTACTTTTGGCACGTCGGCGGGTCCTGTTTCAAATTAGTCACTTTCAAGTCTCCCCTCTGTATTCTGTTTAACTCTGTCTGCACGTGTCTTTTTTCCATCTCGGCACGCACTTTTGGCACGTCGGCGCGTTTTTTTTGCACGTCGGCGCGTGCTTTTGGCATGTCGGCGCGTACTTTTGGCACGTCGGCGGGTCCTGTTTCAAATTAGTCACTTTCAAGTCTCCCCTCTGTATTCTGTTTAACTCTGTCTGCACGTGTCTTTTTTCCATCTCGGCACGCACTTTTGGCACGTCGGCGCGTTTTTTTTGCACGTCGGCGCGTGTTTTTGGCATGTCGGCGCGTACTTTTGGCACGTCGGCGGGTCCTGTTTCAAACTAGTCACTTTCAAATCTCCCCGGCTGCCTCTGGGTTATTCCCCCTGAATTCCTTGAGTTCCTCGTAGGAACTTCTTTATTCTATTTAACTCTGTCTCCGCGTGTCTTTTTTTCCATCTCGGCACGCACTTTTGGCACGTCGGCGCGTATTTCTTTGCACGTCGGCGCGTACTTTTGGCATGTCGGCGCGTACTTTTGGCACGTCGGCGGGTCCTTTTTCAAATCACTTTCAAATCTCCCCGACTGCCTCTGGGTTATTCCCCCTGAATTCCCTGAGTTCCTCGTAGTAACCTCTGTATTCTATTTAACTCTGTCTCCGCATGTCTTTTTTCCATCTCGGCACCCACTTTTGGTACGTCGGCGCGTTTTTTTTGCACGTCGGCGGAACCTTGGTTTTTAGCATGTCGGCGCGTTTTTTGACATGTCGGCGCGTGGCGTCCCCTGAACCACCGATCCTTAAGCCTTCCAAGCGCCAAAGAACCCTGGCCGTCCCGGTCTTGAACCCCAAACCCTACAGCAACCCCAAGCCCAACAAAGAAAGTCCCAAACCCAAGTTTTGAATGAATGAAGGCCTGTATGCGCGCCGCCGTGATCGTATGCAACTCCCAAGCGCCCAACGAGATGATGCTGGTGGAAGAGAGGTATCCCTTGTTGGGGTGCTTGGGGCTCTCCCCTAGAATTAAGGATTCTTGCATGATTGGGGGGATATTGGGGGGTTAACCCCCCCGTGTTGGGAGTCGCCCAGGTGCACGGGGGCTTAGGATTCAGCATTTCGTGTCGGGGGGCCCGTTGCAAAAGGGGGGTTTTAGGGTTTGGGGTTAGGGTTCAGGCTGGCATGTGGGGATTCAGGGCTTGAGGGGGTCAGGGTTTTGAGATGAGCTGAGAGTTTAAGCGTAGGGATTTAGGGCTTAGGGTTTAGGGTTATCCTGATTTAGTGGAGCCCCAGGATGACAGAGGACTTGATAGCAGTTCTGCAGCTTAGAGCACGCCTCGCGAGTTTATGGCCTATAGGGGTGCAGGGCTTCTGGGAGTTTAGGATCTGGAGCTGTCTTCGCAGCCTGAACCCAGCAATCTTCTTTGTCGTACTTTACTGTACCTTTAGATCCTTACCCTTTTTGGGTTTATTGGGTTTCTCAATAAGGCAGCTAAAGGTTTAATTTAGCCAAGCTTATTCTTTGAGTCCGAAACCACCGCCCGCGGCCAGTACCTGTTCCACAACGTTTCGCGTGGAGAAGCGGCCGGATTCAGATCCCGAGAGCCTCTTGGAAGGCAGTTAGGGTTCTGGGGCTGCAGCCTTGGGGTTGAAGTGTTAGCCGCAAACCCTAAACCCTAAACCCTAGACCCTAAACCCTAAACCCTAAAAAGCCCGAAACCCCAAGCCCTAGACCCTAGACCCTAGACCCTAGACCCTAGACCCTAGACCCTAGACCCTAGACCCTAGACCCTAGACCCTAGACCCTAGACCCTAAACCCTAAACCCTAAACCCTAAACCCTAAACCCTAAATAGAAAAGCAGGCAAGGGCAACCCTCAACTCCGAGGCCGGCACTTGGTCCTCGCCGGCGGAGGCACGGGCACCCTGGAGCGGTGCGTGGCCTATGGCATGCACGAGGGCCAGGCACAGCCTCTGGGGAGTTTAGGGTTTAGGGTTAGGGTTTAGGGTTTAGGGTTTAGGGTTTAGGGTTTAGGGTTTAGGGTTTGGGGTTTGGGGTTTGGGGTTTGGGGTTTGGAGTTGGGGGTTTAGGGTTTGGGGTTTAAGGTTTGGGGTATGTTCAGGGATTCAGGGTCGCAGAGGTTGGGCGCTTGGGGTTGGACGTTTGGGGTTGTAGGTTCAGGATTGCCGGCCTTCCCTTTCTTCAGAAGCCCGTAATGTGACTTTGCGCAAGTGACCTTGTGCGGCTTGGGCTGTAGACCCCAATCTACCTCTTCCTATGAAGGCCGGTTGGTGCGGACTTTCTTGTTGCCAGCTTAGAAATGGTTTGAGAGAGGCTTGAAGCACTGTGAGCCAGAACCACTTGCAGTTTGATCCCTAAACCCTAAACCCTAAACCCTAAACCCTAAACCCTAAACCCTAAACCCTAAACCCTAAACCCTAAACCCTAAACCCTAAACCCTAAACCCTAAACCCTAAACCCTAACCCCTAACCCCTAAACCCTAGCGTCTGGGGTGTCTAGCCTTCAGGGTGAAGGCCAGAACCCGACGTACATCAGTCCATGCAAGCAGAACCCCAAACCTGAAACCCCTAAAACCCTAAGCCCTAACCCCAAACGCCTAAAACCCTAAACCCTGCATGAACCCCAAACCCTGAACCCGTAGCCCGCAACCGCAGGAGACGGTGTTCCACAAGCCTTGCCAGCCGGATGATGCAGCGCAGCTCATTCCCGCCAGGGGCATGGGCCTGCTCTACTTCAATCTGCACAGTGCGGGCAAGGCCGGCGTCTAAACCCTCAGCCCTAGACCCTAAACCCCAAACCCCAAACCCTAAAGCCTAAACCCCACACCCTAAACCCTAAACCCACCTCGGAAGGTCGCGACCGTGCAACGGGGCCTGAAGGCAGAGTTCTTCTACGGTGTGCAGGCCAGCACGGTGGACTGCACGCTCCCCGACGTGAGCATGAGGCCGGGGTGCCCTGAAACAACTTAGGTTTTATTAGAGTGTAGGGTTTAGGGTTCAGGGTTTAGGGTTTAACCCAATCTCGGGAACTCCATAGCCTTAAGCCCTGCAAATCCCGAGCAATCCCGAGCTGGAAGTTTTGAAGCCCGGAAACCTTGTTCTTCTGGAGCCCCTGGAGGCAGCCGGACTATGTCCGTGTGGATGCGCAACTGGACTACAGGCAGTCAGCCACCTGGTGCCGACAATGACTGCTTGGAGGTTAATGGTACTAATTTAACCAACTATAGCTGTACTTATAACCCACCTATAAGCCCCTCTACGTGCCCTAGTATGGTTTTCAGTATAGTTATAAGTGCAGTTTACCAATAAGTCTCATGAACCTCCAAGCATTCTTGCGTTGTAACTTCAACGACGACTACTAGGGAAGGCCACGTACTACTGCTGCTGCTGCTGCTGCTACTACTGCTACTACTGCTACTACTACTCCTACGACTACTACTACTGCTGCTACTACTACTCCTACTCCTACTCCGACCCCTACTCCTACTCCTACTCCTACTCCTACTCCTACTCCTACTCCTACTCCTACTCCTACTCCTACTCCTACTCCTACTCCTACTCCTACTACTCCTACTCCTACTGGCACTGGCACTGGCACTGGCACTGGCACGGGCACTGGCAGGGGTACTGGTACTGCAGTAGCAACTACCACCATTTCTGCTTCAACAAAGAGCTGTTAGTACTCCTTTCTATGACTATAACTGTTCCTGTTTCGATCACTATTCCGATTACTATTGCTGTTATTACTTTTGCAAATGACGATTGTTGACAACTTTGCTACAGCGATAACAACAAGACAAACTATAGCAAGAGCAATAAACCCAACACTGGCACTTCAATACTGCTACCACTATTTTTGCCCTATCGGCAATTACGACTGCTGTTGTTCTTCAGGAACCATAAACATAAGCTGAAACATCGTTGCCACCGGCAACAGTAGGTGTGACATTCTTCTGGACTACCATCGACATAGTCACGGCGTGTCGTGGTTCCGAGTGCCAAGACTTCTCCTCTTGTGGCGGAGCTCTCAGGTCCCACATTATGGAGCTTCCGAAAATAGGGGGTACCCTTTCTGGGGGTCACTTTCTATTTTATTTGGGGTCTAAACCGGGTCCCACATCTTCGCAAACCCCATATTATGTGGTTGGTGGTTGTTGTTCGGTCAGTGGGGGTGGGGGTGGGTGGGGGGGGGCTGTAGCATGTCTTGGGATGCTCTTAACCACCGTGGGATGCACTTGTAGCTGTTTTTTTCCCGTTAACGCCCTAAACCCTCAAGCCTAAACCCTGAACCCTAAACCCTATTGCATCCAAGAACGAATGGTCCGGTATCACGGAGAAGGCGCGGTTGCACATGTTGAGCTACGACCAGGGTTTAAGGTTTAGGGTCTAGGGAGCAATACCCAAAAACGCTCACAGTCGCGTGTGCCAGGAGTCCCAGTCCACCGCATGCGGGCTCTTCTAGACTGCAGGCTTTTCTTTGGTGGTTGGAGCTAGAAGGAGTACTATAGTCGAGACCTTGATGTCGTGCACGTCCCGCGTGCCAAAGCCCGGTGGGCAGGACTGGCTGGCTGGCCGATGGACAGGGTTCCTGACCATACAGCATGCAGGCCGCGGGCGCATACAAATTTGGTGTCCAGTAGGGAGGTCGCTGCAGTTTCCAGCTCCTTTTTTGGATGTTTCAGGGCAAGAGCGTGGACAGGACACTACAAGTTCTTCCTGAAAGTGGATGATACTGTGGAGATCCTTATTGATGGGAAGGTCCTCGTGCATGTCGGCCATTGCGGCTGGCACCGCGCCATGGCTGGCAGTTGTATTCTTGTCTCTTAAGAACCACCCCCCACAAAAAACAATAATGCCTATATGACCCTTATAAGGACTATTTCTAATTTTGGGGGTTCTTAAGCAACTGGTAGGTGCAGGAGCCTTTACTGGCACTCCCAGTCCGTTGCTGCGAAATTTCGAGGATGGTTTCGATGGCTCATCAGCTGGAAAGCAAAATCGGAGAGTTAAGTAGAATCGCCACTGCGCGAAAGCCAAAGTCATCACCTACACAAGACAGCTAGGCCTTGCAGGCCCCTTTTTTCTGGTAGGACGAGGCCTTGTAGAGGTGCGGCCAGGCTTCAGCCCATTGGAGGCGCAGCTTCAGGGACCCGTGAACCACGCAGCCCAGGAGACGTGGAAGCCTCCATGGACCTGCCTGCCGGCGCCCTCCCCTTTGTGGTGCACTGGCCGGGGCCCTAGCAAGGAGCGCAGGCGAAGGCTGTGGAACTTTCAGAGTCTGTAGGATTTCGGACAGGTTCTAAGCCCTGAGCCCTAACTCCCAAAACCCTGAAGCCCCAGTGGAACTGAGGATGGAGGCAACTGGTGGGATGGCACTGCGTGTATTCTACCAAGGTCCGGACACCAAAGTGCTCTGGCCAGCACAGTGCTGCATGTCGGTAGCCCTTTATAGGGATGATAGTAGCCCCGAGTATAGTGCCTGTTGAGGACTGTGGGGGTAAGGGCGAACATCCCAACAAGCCCCCATCGTTCTTGCAGCAAGTGCTCTCTGCGGGGGGGGGGGGGGCTCTCGGCGCGTCCTTAGGACCAGAAGGTTCTGATCCCGACGTCTGCTTTTTCGCACGTGCCGCTCACCTGCAGCTACGGGAGGCTTTCCTGGTGCTCCAGGTTGCGAAGTTGAATTCGGGGCCTAAGGCTTTCGGACCCTAAGCCCTGAACCCGAAACCTTCCACCCTATAGAATAAGCTCCCCAACCCGGCCTCCCCTTCCGGGCCCTAGGACCGACGCCAACACGCAGCTCATGGTCGACGCCTCGCACTCCCGCGGCTGCATTGGGAACACCGGTATTTCCCGGACAAAGGGAACCTTGGACTTCTCATGGGATGCACTGTACAGGCTCAGGGATCTCTTCTGGGGTTCCAGTGCTCCATCATCTTCACAAGCGCGTGTCGTGGTTCCTACCTCGCCCTACGCCAGCGCAATAAGGTTTCCGGCTTAGGGCTTAGGCGGTTGCCGACTGCAGGTTCCGTCTTCGCGCCCTCTGAGAAGGCCGCGTGGCGTGCTCTCAGCCGCTGCAAGCATCAGCTCTTGCTAGCCACCAGCTCTTGCATGTCCTGCATGCCCTCGACCCGAACGACCCCAACACAGAAATCGAAGCACACCCCCTTCATCCCCATGAGCCTAGAAACCCTGAAGCCCTGACTGCCCCCCTCAATGATCCGGAAGCCCTAAAGCCCGAAGTCCCAAAACCCCTCGCGGGCCCTCAGCGCGCGGAAGGCGACAGGGGTGGTCTGCAGCTTCGTCCCCGTGGTGAGCCTTGGTTTGCAAGATAAGGCATCGGTCCCCAAAGAAGTCCATCTGCTTGACTGCAGCTCAGGGAGCCTCTCATGAGAGATTTTCCATTATTTGGGCGCAAAAGGGTGGCTTCATTTCTTTTCTTTTTGTGTGGACATCTCCCTTTCGGAGAGTGTGCAAATGTGCAAGTGCCGTGTTTCATTTCGTGAATCTGCAGGTGCTCACCCGAGCACAAATGCGCGCACCCTAGACCCTAAGCCCTAAGCCCTAGACCCTAGACCCTAAACCCTAAACCCTAAACCCTAAACCCTCAACCCTACGGCCAGGAAGACTGACGAGCCGGTCGTGTTGCCAACGAGCCGACGCTTGGCCTCGTCCCAGGACAAGTGTCTTCACTTGAGATGTTCCCCCCTTGTACTAACAGTCCTTGAAAGGGGAAATCCCTATCTTGCCCTTATAAGGAGCTTGAAAAAACCCTATATTGTCCCTATACAAGGAGGACTTGTTTTATTTTTATTCATTATATTATTTATTTTTTTTTTTTTTGGGGGGGGGGGGGGGGGGTTCTCAAGCAATTGGCAGTGAAAGGGGGTACTACAATCCCTCTGAAGGACTGTTAGTATAGGGGGGGGGTCATCCCCAAGTCTTCAGCCGCGTCTTAGTCCACGTAGCGCTGCTCGAGGAAAGAGGGATGGGCACTGGCATGAGTGGTGGGTCGAGCTGTCGGACATGGACATCGAGTGCTGCTCGGCTGTGCTGAGTGGCTGAGAGGCGTCATGCTGTAGAATCCTTTTAAAGGAACATCCCCAAAAGGGTACCCCATTTTCGGAAACCCCCAAACCTTGGTAGCCAGACTTTGAGATCTCAGTCAACTGCCAAATTCCAACCATGGCCCCGTGGCTCCCCACTTTCGAGTCTAGATGGGCCCTAGCACAAACAGTGCCAGTGTCCATGCGTACTATAGGGGCCGTAATAATTAGAGCAGGGTTGTGGGGGGGGGGGGGGGGTTAGTCTAGTATTTACACAAAGGGACCCTATAAGGGCCCCTTTGTTAGTGTGCTTTCCGAGGCAGTGAAGGCAAGGTGCTCATGAGCATTGACACCGAGCCGCGAGGCTGCATGGCTGTGCTCGGGGCCGCCTTTCAGAATCAGCATGGGTTGTGATGTTCCCCTTAAAACTAGCAGCCCTTAGTAGGGATTGTAGTACCCCCTCTAAGTACCCCCTCTAGGACTCTAGGAAGCCCTGCTAAGGACTGTTAGTAAAAGGGGGAATATCCCAAAGCATGGGCATCGAGGAGGCCAGCTTAGGGGTTTCGGGCTTGAGGATGTTTGGGGTTTAGGTGCCTGCATGAGGTGGGTCGACGAGAAGATGCGTGTCGCATACACCTGCGGCGTCGTGGCTGGCCTGGGATACTGCACGCCGTCCTGGTCGGACCAGCGTCGACCCGGCCTGTTTGGTCAAAGGCTAGCCGGCCAGCCTTAGTGATCGCCCTGTTACAATACTGGAACTGCCCACTTATAGCTTGAGAAGAGCAATAGCTTTTGGATAAACCATGGATGCCGGGCAGAAGGAAAGGCTTGTGACGCAAAACAAATGCTCAGAGGATCGCAGGGGACCCCCTATACACACAAACCTCAGAAGGAGTATGTCAGCAAAACCCTAAACCTGAACCCGAATCGCGGCAGGCCTATCGCTTTTGTGTAGGACTCCTCTTCCAAGGGTCTAGAGAGCCGACCTGTTCCTGCCCGAGCCATGATGTGAGCCCTAGCCAGGCGACGCGCAGGACTGGACGCCCAATAACCAGCAGGTGGCTTGGGCCGATTTTGGGCGCACAGGAGGTCCATCGGGTTTTCGGGTTTGGCAGGGTTCAGGGGCTCATAGGCAATCTTCTCCGCCGGGGCGCCTTCGCTTCGTTTCTTCTTGCTGTGGACGGTGCTGGGTTTTTGTGTGGTCTAGGTGGCGAGGCTCTGCAGGTCGGGAGTTTTGGGCTTAGGGTTAAAACATGGTATCTTCCCTTGAGGGGTGCTTTAGATTCGAAACTTCGGAGCCAACAGCCCCCCAAGTTTCAGACAACTCTACGTGCCAGGGCTTTTCCCAAGCCGCCTCCGCCCTAACCCCCCCGCCCCCCCCAAACCCCCTCCCCCGTAACCCCCCCCCCCCGCAACCCCCTCCCCCGCTAACTCCCCACCCTAACCCCCGCTCTGCGGCCAGATACTTGACAAGCTGATGGTGGCGTGCCCTCGAGGCAGCCTCCTCAACCGGCTGAAGTTCGAGTACTCGATCGGAGGGAGGCGGGGACCTCAACCCCAAACCGGTCGAATTCACCAAGAATACCCAGCCGCCCCAAACAAAAAAGCGTCACTTGTAACTGCTCTTTTGGTAACGACACCCGAAACCCGAAACCCGAAACCCTAAACCCTAAACCCTAAAAGCAACCCCTAAAAGCAACCCCGTGCCTCGAAAAGGTGGGCCCGGTTCAAGACCAGCTGCTGCGCCACCGGCGGTGCGCCGGTCGGCATCCTGAGGCTGGGGCTTCCTTCCCTTGGAGGGTTTGGGTTTTAGGGTTTAGGGTTTAGGGGTTTAGGGGTTTAGGGTTTAGGGGTTTAGGGTTTAGGGTTTAGGGTTTAGGGGTTTAGGGGTTTAGGTTCCTTTTGGGGGTTTAGGGTTGAGGGGTTTAGGGTTTAGGGGTTCAGGGGTTTAGGGGTTTAGGTTTCATTTAGGGGGTTAGGGTTGAGGGGTTTAGGGGTTTGGGGGTTTGGGGGTTTAGGGGTTTAGGGTTTAGAGGTTTAGGGGCTTAGGGAGGGGTTTAGGGGTTTAGGGAGGGGTTTAGGGGTTTAGGGGTTAGGGCTACAAAGGGTTGTCAGCATCTCTGGAAAGTTCATGCGAGCAGTTCCGGGTCTAGGGCCTAGGGTGCATACAGGCGGTCGATTCGAGCCGATGCGGGTCTCCACTCCTGATAGACCTGTCTCCCTACACAGTGCCTCACTTGCGCACCGCGGGGTTCGCGTACACATGTGGGGTTCAATAGGGCTTTTTGGGCTTTGGGGCTTTTTGCGTGCCCGTGCGATGCGCCTGATTGTGCAGGAATGGCCCAGATGCAAGCCGCTTCGATGCCATGGAAGGGCAGCACCCTGGATCCATGGAATCGAGTTCTTCGTGCGGGGGTTTCCGAAATGAGGGGTACTTTTCTTGGGGTCCCTTTTGCTTAGGCAATCCTACTACTTGGGGTATATCTTCCTACTACTCCCCATGTGGGGCTCACCCACCTTTATTTCCCACCGCGCGCTTGCACCCCTCCCCCCTACTGCTTCTAATGCGAAAGAAGCAAGCTAGAGGAGATGATGATGGTAAGATACTGCTTTCCTGAACCGTATTCCCCTCGTTCCTGAGCCCTGAAGCCACTTTCCCTGGTAAGGTTCGCAGAGAGTGGGTGGGTGTGATAAAAATGCTAGGGTTTGGGGCAGACTTCCCGAATCCCCGAGCCGAGAGAGCCTCATATTCCCTCAGAGAAGGAATATACCTTCACCATCCTTAGCCCAAGGCACCCCAAATAGCGAAAGAACCCTAAGCCCTAACCTCTCAACCCTGAGTTTCCCTAGCGTTCTTTTGCAGTTGCTTATTTCAAAACTGCGGGTTCGTAGCTGGGAATGATGGAATTCGGTGCCCTATATCCCTACATCACCCCCTATATATACCCTTCAAGGGGTTATGTGGGGTACACTACTTCCCTGCTTCCCTACTAAGGTCCAGTAGGTCTACGAATTCTTGGGTTTTTTGCGGAGGTACTGCCCGTCGGGACGTGGCCCCTCCGGGCGCTTCGTGTACCAGCAGCGGCCCATTGGGCCATGGCAATCGATTGGCGCTGGCCACGTGCCTGGGCTTGGGCTATGAGATCCTCAACTCAGATACCCCAAACCCTCAAGCCTAAACCGGCTCGTTCAGCCTAAACCCTCAACCCTAACCCTAAACCCTAAACCCTAAACCCTGAACCCGAAACCCTAAACCCTAAACCCTAAACCAAGACAGCCTGCTGAAGCTCAGGCGCTGCAGTTCGACCACAACAGCGGCACCTGGTGCATCGGCCCCCAGTGCTCAGGCCTGCGCCACCAGCTTCGAACGTTTGGGGGTTTAGGGATGTTTAGGGATGTCTAGGGATGTCTAGGATTGTTTCGGGATGTCTAGGGATGTTTAGGGATGTTTAGGGTTTAAGGTTTAGGGGTTTCGGGCAGGGGCTTGGGTTTTGAGGTTTTGTTGGACGGTTTGCAGGAGCGTTTGTTGCTGTGGCTTTGCTTGCCGCACGCTTGGTTCCAAAGAGAGAGAGAGAGAGAGAGAAAGCTAGAGAGAGCGGGGGCCTCTTCGCTGGGTAGAAGAAGAAGAGGAGGAGGAAGAAGAGAGAGAGAAAGGTCTCACGCGGATCGGGGCGCGCCTAGGCGCAGGGCTTGCCCTATGCCCCAAAGAAAGAAAAAAGAGAGAGAGAAAGCGAGAGAAAGCGAGAAGGAGACAGAGAAGGGAAGTTGTACTTGGGGTCTGAAAAGCGAAGGGGGAAGGAGCGGGGGCTAGTCTGTGCAAGCTTGCATGTGGGGTGAGAGAATGAACCTGAGCTCCTTCTCCCCGACCACCCCAACCAGAGGAACCCCGAATACCGCGGCGGGCGAGGACGCCCGGGGGCTTGCCCCCTTGCCCCCAAGAAAGACAGAAACAAAGCAGGCTGCTCCAGGGTCAGCGACTTGCAGGAAGTGGAAACCTGGGGCCGTGTCGGTTCTTAACGCATGGTCCCTGCAAAATGCTCAAAACTGACGGTGGGCGACCAGTGTGGACTAAAAGTAAGAACAAGATGCATTCCTCCTCTTCTTCATGAAGCATGGTATGCGATCTGCACGGGCCGATGGTGTTGTTGGGCAAGTTCTGCGTACATGACTTCGCAAGGTTTATTTGGGTTCAGAGGTCTAAGTCTGGGGCTTAGTTTTCCGGTTCTGGCCATGAAGTGGCCCTCAGCCCGTAGGCCCAAAGCCCAAACCCCAAACCCTAAACCCTAAACCCCAAACCCTAAACCCTAAACCACTAAAAGAAACGAAATTCCCAGATCCGGTGCCGCTGGATCCAGCGGCGCCCGGCAACGCAGAGCCCACCAGCCTCGCCCTGGCGTCGCTGGATGTGGGTCCTGCGGCCAGGCTGCGATTTAGGGTTTAGGGGTTTAGGGTTTAGGGTTTAGGAGTATAGGGTTTAGGGTTTGTTGAGTATAGGGTTTAGGGTTTAGGAGTTCAGGGTTTAGGGTTTGGGGTTTAGGGTGCACTCAGAGTACTCAGGCTCCGTAATGTCTTCCAAGAGCAGCTCCTGGTTAGGTGGCCCTCGCCGTGCAGCCATAACAGTCTCAAACGATATCTTACATGTGGAGTCCCAAGCTTTAGGGTTACGGTTTAGGGTTTAGGGTTCAGGGTGTAGGGTTGAGGGATGTTGAGGGATGTTGAGGGTTTAGGGTTTAGACCGTACGCCTTTCGAGCGTTCGCAGGCCAGTCAGGCGCGAGAGGTGATGCGGGGGGAGGGGGGGGTTTTAGGGCACAGGGTTTAGTTTTGCAAGGTCTCGGACTTCGACGGCAACTTCGAAGCCAAAGGCCGGGGGCTTCTTTCATCTTCTTTCAGGTTTTAGGGTTTTAAGGTTTCGGGTTGAGGGTCTAGTTTAGGGGCACGTGAGAGTTGCGCGTTCGCTGGCCTAAGCCTTGACGCCCCAAAAGAACCCCAGAATCCCTTTCAAGAGGTCCTATACCTGGATTCCTTGTAGAGCTACCCCAAGCCCTGAACGCCTTATACCCCAAAGCCCCAAGCAACTTGAGCGTCCGGAGAGGTGTCGGTGGAGCAGCAGGGGCGAACGGCAACAAGTACCTCAACGGCAGGCTGCCTGGCACCTTAGAGGGGGGGCAGCAGGTTCTCCCTCTAAGACACCTCTAAACCTTAAGCTCCCTAAAAAAGCGGAAGAATCAGCTTAAAACCAAAGGCTCCCCATCAGCCTCTATATAGCCGTCAGCCCCCACTGCTGCACGCTGCCGAGGCTGCCAAAGAACCCGCCCAAGAGGCCCAAGCCGCCGAAGAAGCCCAAGCTCTTGGTCTACGAGCCGCCCGGAGTTCGGAACTGATCCTTATTTAGGGTTTAGGGTTTAGGGGTTAGGGTTTAGGGTTTTGGGTTTTGGGGTTTATGGGATTTAGGGTTTAAAAGGGGTCCAGGAGTCTAGGAGTGGGGTTTTGGGGCGTTTCTTCGGGGCTTTTGAAAGCATGGAGTTCTTTAGGGTCCAGTTTGTGCTTGGGCTGCGCGGCTTCGCGGCTTCGCTTGCCAAATTTGAGGGCCTCCCCATTGCAGCCCCAAAAAAAAACACCGCCCAGGCCTGAAATGCCCACTTACTCCGACAAGTGTATCCGCCACTTGGTTGCCGTGGGTGCCTCGCGTGCTCTCTACCATGGACCCTAAGCTTCAGGGCCTCAGGGGTTCGCTGCTATTTTTTTGCATGGAAGGGGAGAAGAGCTGCGTGGGAAGCACACCTGAGTAGAGGCAGGATAGGCCTCTGTCCATGGCCGTAGCGAAGCCCCCCAAAACCCAAACCCGAACCCATGATATGCCGATGAGCTGGACCTGCCATTGTTCCAAGAATATGGCGACCTCTGGAAGAACTTGCAGGAGACCGTCGCCTCTGTCCAGCAAATGGCGCCCTAAGCCCTAGACCCGTCTAGGGCACCGTTGAGGCCCATTTGGGGGGGTTTAGGAAATTCGGGGGGTGCCTTGTTGGGAGTCCTTATCATGAAGGGGAGCCTACTCGTTGGGAGTCCACACAAAGGGGTCCCCGATTTTCGTAAACCCCTAAGTAGCTCCAAGGCCCGGACCATCGTTTAGTCTCATTCAGCCGTAGGGTTGGCTCATGCCCCAAAGCGTGCCCCCATCTGCAAGCCCATGGCTTCTGTGGTAGAGAACCCTAAACTTACCCTGAACCCTGAACCCTAAACCCTAAACTCCCTAAACCCTAAACCCTGAACCCTGAACCCTGAACCCTGAACCCTGAACCCTAAACCCTAAACC